CAGAGGTTTTCCTAAGGATTTTTTCAACTGTACAATTATATTTTAACTTCATAATTGTTTAATACATGACGCCTTATTGCACCTAATATATATAAAGGCCTAGTAACAAATGATCCAAATAAAGAATATTCTAGTAAATACATTTATCTATCAACTCTGGAATGGAATTTTATAATCTTAAATATGTTTTTTTATATATTTATCCACTTGAAGTTACTTAAATAGGTGAACATTAGGAAAACCTTTGCTCAATTTCTTAAATAAAAAAGAACGAAAGAATGCCATACACACTTAATAAACTTTAAACATTTAACAGTTTTGGCGAATGTTTTTTACGCTGTAATGAGTTAACAGTTCAAATAATTGATACATACCAAGGCCACACAGTGTTAATAATTACAAAAATCTATATAAATATAATATTACTGCCTGTTGTCTGTCCATATAACTGTTTCGCAGGATGTGGATGGATCTTCACCAAAATTGGTATAGTGGTTCATTAGGTCCATGAGAAGATGCGTACAAATTTTCAGGTTTGCATTTTGCGTTTTTTGAGTCCAGGCGGAGATACATGCAAACTTGCGATTTCACATTTTTTGTTTTGCAGTTTTTATGGGTTTTTTTTGCGTTTTTTTTACAATTACGTATAAGGGAAGTAGTTTTTCTTGTCCTAAGATAACTTTCCATTAATCATGAATTTACACAACTTTCGTACAGGGGACGGGTAATCCAGCTAGTTATGAAATATTTTATGACGAAAAGTTAAATAAAAAATATGAACAAAATAGCAAGAATGTATTAAAAATTCACAAATGAAGTATTATGAATATTATTCCAACCTTAGAGCCATAAAGAAGGTATCGTATTTAGTTTGTACGTTTCATCTGTTCTTTGAACTGTTTCTTTTGTAGTCAGCAGCAATAAAAACTAAAATTTATTCGCATATATAAACAGCATTCATGGTTACGAATTTCATAGTTTTTTAAAATTAATTGCTATATATTTACGAAATTGTCAAGATATATTTTATAGTAGTAAAAATTTATCTTATTTTTGTGAAGTACTAACTTGTACAAAATCCAACGTACTTTTGTCATATATATATTCATATTATTTTTTATGCTTAGTGATTTTATTTAGTTTTATTACTATCTATCAATGACATTTATACATCAAGTATAATTATTTAATACAAGATCTAGATCTATAAGCAATTCGTTCGGGTATACTAAGCTTAATTCCGATGTTTATATGTATCGTTATTAATTTTCCAGACTTTGTTCATTTCATCGGGATGAAATATACTTTACTCACTGTGATTAGCTCTTTTGACAACAGATGGCGTTTCGTACTCAGATGGGGGATCATAGCGGATACGCTTTGAAGGAGTTTGTAAGCGACATTTGTAATGGGGGGAGCTAGCGTAGGTTGTATGGTAAGTTTAGTTTAACGTGGTATTCTGCGTCGGGGGATAAAGAACCTAACTTACTAGCATTGGTAAAACTACGGAATTGTTGTGCGATTTGCCGTGTTAGCCATAACGGCAAAATACACGTAACAATGGAGAATAACGATAATGATTCTACACCAGAAATTGAACAAGTGAGTGGTAACGAAACACCAGAATGGGTGGATTCAAAATGTGTTTTCTGCAAGCAAGAACTGAAAGAGGGCAACGAGCCAAGGTTGCTGCCTTGCCTCCATGGTGCGTGTAAGGCTTGTGTTTCGGCCGAATCGGTGCCCAGCCCCGCGTCCGTTTCGAACTACTCGACGCCTGGTAAGTGTGTGAGAGCAGGAAGTTATCGTCCTTCTGTAGGCTATATATAGGCTAGGAAAGTAGGCTTAACGACCAAATACGTTGTACTAAACACTGATTTTCGTTCCGAAACGGTTTGAATAGCATTTACGCCACTTTAGACCCAGGCAAATCTTAGAGTAAACATATTTTTTTAGAGATGATTTTTAAAATTATATTTAAAATAATTTTTCTGACTTTAATATTTTAGTAATCATGCTAATATAAATTTATTGTACAACAAAACTGTTTCAGAAAAATTAAAAGGTAGTTTAACTTTAAAAGTCTGTTGTAGGCTATAACAAATTTTTAACTTACTTTATAGTTGTCATGTTCCACTTCCACTAACTGAATAAGTCGAATAAAATTGTATTACTCAAAATTTGTATTTTGAATATGATGAATATAATTGTGCAGTATGTTATTTTTAAAAAATCAGTAGAATTATTTATGAAGACGTCATAAAGCTTGGAAATAAGTTATATAGTTTCAAATTGGAGTCATAGAACAAGAAGTTAGGCCTACAAGCGTTTTTTTTATTACAAATTTGGTCGTTAATTCTTAAAATAATATAGTTATAATTTGATTTTAATTATTGTTAAAATATTTTGCATTAAAGTACATTACTGACAAATTCTAATTTTACTTTCTAATTTTAATCGGTTTAATGCGAAAGCTTGTGTGTTTCTTATTACATATTACCACACAATGTACTATTTATGCTTTTGTCACCCGGGGGTGTCGAACCCAGTTTTCAGTGTTATAAGACCTTAGACTTGCCGCAAAAATAATAATAGTATGCTTAGACTTCACAAAATTTAATTTTGTGTATTTCCAACGCTAAAACAGCAGCAACAACAAATTTATTAAATTATTATAAATGTCAGGATATAAAAGTTTTTTTAAAGGATAGTTTAATATGCTTGAAAGTTGAGTATGTATGAGTCCATTTACTGAAAAAACTCAACAAAATTTTATATTCGCTTTTAGTGTTACTGAACTGCAAGTCTGATATTCCATGATCAATCGAAACAAGCGAATAATTCGTTTTTATGCTTGAGCTCTAATACCTTACTGACTGAAATTTCTGTTTTTTCCTCCCTCTCTTCAGTAATTTTTAAGTCCGTACAACAATTAATTTTCAGATATATTATCTTCCTAATCGAACACTGGGGAGTCATGGATAGTACTTTTTAGTGGTGGACACCGTTAGTTAGTGGCATTCTATTAAAGGGGATAATTTCAGGATTGGTAAGTTAAGTAAAAATTATTTGATAAAAATAACACCTGTAATTAATTATATTTGTCATACGACATTGTCTACCAGTGGGATAGCGGTAACTTTACAGACTTTACAACGCCAAAATCTGGAGTTCTATCCCCGCTGTGGCTTTGCTCTACAACAAACAAACATAGGACATTAATATTAGACTTATTATATTTTTTAACATTGCATTATTTATCTAGTCCCTTAGGGATTTTCAAGAATTAGAAGAGCATAAAATAATAGTATTCCAACCACACTATGTTCGCCATGACCAAAATAATAATAGGTACTAAAGTCGTATGACAAGTACAATTAATTATAATCGTGCTTTGCCAGCTTGTAAAAGGCGTTCACGCCATAACAAAAGTAACACTTATTCATGTATTAGGAGTAAATATTGCTCTAGTGTTATAATATGATATCTCGTGTGTTTTTAGTTTAAATACGAAACTTGCTGAAAATTTGTAATTTATATTACTTACTTCAAGCTTAATAAAACCCATCAATCGTATGTGCATGGCCGCCTATTTTAGAAGTTCTTTTGGGTTTCCAAAATCACAGTGACCTATTGGTAACGTATAATGTTAACATATGGTTGAATATCATCTCGTCCAATGGAGTGTACCATCACCATTAAAATTGGTAATTTTGCTTAGAAAGTGGTTTTGGTACAATACCGTAACAGTGATAGTAGTATAAGTTAACCTAGACGTCTGTAGCAAGTCTCTTCGCCCGTTTCTTCTCTGCTACATTGTTGACATTATGGCTCCTTGAAAACTAACTTTGCTTTAGAGAAATTCTTTCTTTTCTTTTTTGTTGGTATACCCACACGAAAAATTGGCCCTTAATATGACAACAATACATAGTCTATTGTCATTAACCAGCCGACTTATAACGAATTTATAATGTATCCTTCAAAGTTAACACTTGTATTTTGTTTTTAATTTTTCAGTTCGAAAAACAAAAGAGAAAAATAATAATAAAAAAGCAGTAATCTCATCAATTTATAATTTAACACAAATGCGACAATATTGATGTCCTATATTGAATAATATAAGGTTAGGAACTATAAAATACGAATTACTTAGTGGTTTCATCGTAGTAAGCCCAAAATTCTCCGTCCATGAGAGAAATTCCAATAATATGATGCTAAAATCCAAAAGTGAAAATTAGATTTCGAATGTTTCTTTAATTTGATGGAGACGTTATACATGTGTCATATTTTGGTAAGACTTGGATACCAGAAAATGTAGCACTACACCACTGGACACATCATTAAGATCACATTAGGCATAAGAAAGCCTTATTACATAATATAGTATTATAAGACAACAAGGAGCTGTTGGTCAAATTAGGCCTAAACTGAATTATTCACTAAACTAAAATAAACAACAACAAAAAACGAACACACCTCAAAGACCGCCCTTATCATTCAAATATTTATCCAGCTTATCATTGATCTTCCTTAAATTAACTATATCCAGCACATCCAGAGGTCAACCATCCTGTTAGAAATATAAAGCTGTTTTAGCTGAAGATGGCTTCTTCCCTGTCAAAATTTATATTTGTGTCCTGTAGTCTTACCATTCTCATTATTAAATTGAAAAAAATATTATGCATAAAAACTATAAATTCCCCCTAACAATATTGAACATCTCAATCAGATCCCCTCTAATTCTTATGTTTTTGAAGATAAAACAAATTCAGAGATCTTAACCTGTCCTTATATGATAACATTTCCATACCAGGTATCATCCTAGTAGCCCTTCTCAAAATCCTTTCTAACAATTCAGTGTCCTCTCTGAATGAAGAGAATACTCCAAATGTGGCCTAATCAATGATCTATACAGTGGCATTACGGATTTCGATACCCGTGGTGAGTAGAGCCCAGATAGCCCATTGTGTAGCTTTGTGCTTGGAACTACAAAAACAAAACAAAACACAATGGCACTATAATCTCTTTAGACCTGTATTCAATATTTCTGTAGATACAACCTAAAATCCTATTTGCCCTGCCACTAGCAACAACACATCACTTGGATGACGTAAGAGATTGATCAACCAGAACACCAAGATCATTTTCTTCCATAAAACTATTAATGTTATTTCCATCAAGATTTTACTATAATTCAAATAGTGATATCCTACATGCATTACCTTGCGTTTATTATAAATAATAGCCACCTGCTGTTTATTCGCCCAACTTACCAAATAATCCAAACCCTTTTGTAAGGCAGTAGCATCCCCCCTGGCAGCTAGCAACACACAAAACTTTAGTGCCATCAACAAATTTAAATAATCTGTTGACCATTCCTTCATATTTATCGTTCGTGTAAATTAAAAAGAGCAACGTTCTAACACGAGCTCTGAGGTATTCCACACGTGACATTAATCCAGTTTGACTGAACTCCATTTACAGCGGTATCATGACATTTCACTGTTGACATATGACTGCCGGTGCATTTTACTACCGGTAAATAATTATGTTCTCAAAAAAAAAAACCCTAGCACACTAATGACTTTATTCTCAATAATTACAGTAAACTAATAAATTATCGCACTAAACTCGATGAAAATAAAATTGAAAAATAAAGTAATTGGATGAGTTACCGGAAAAACATAATAATAAAGTAATTGAATAATTTGATGGAAAAAAAAAAGGCTATCACTATACAGCACATCCGTGCACTATTAGTTGTTTGCACGGGTACAACTTTTATGACGTAATTTTCGTGTTCAAAGTTTCTTGAAATAATAATGGATGCTTTTATAATATTCCGGTAATATAATTTCTATAAAATTTTTAGACTTTAAAAATAAAAGAAGTAATTTCTGCATCTCTTTACCGGTAGTGAAATGTACCGGCAGTCGTTTACTACGGTAGTGAAATGTCGTTGAACCATTTATAACAACCCCTGCTTTCTTCATTGTAGCTGGTTTTATATCTAATGAACCAACGTATACCCCACGTCCACATGAGATAACTTTTTAAACAATCATTCCCTTCTCAAAATCCAGATATATACCAAATCATACAATGTCAAAAGATTAGTAAGGCAAGATTGAAACCGCGCTGACCACCCAACTGAATTTGCGAAGCAATTACGACTACCTAAAGGCTGCAGTTCTGAGCAAATTCTTCGGGTCATTGGTTTGTATTATAGAGGGAGGGAAGACAAAGAAGAACCCCACTTTTATACTGTATACACACGTCATTCACAATAATAAAGCCAAATGTTTTTTGGCCCCAAATCTCGCCCATAGTCTGTATGTTGTTTTGTTACACAAAAGACTACCTGCATAAGTCCGTCCCTAATTTTAAACTGATAAACTAAAGAGAAGGTATCTAGTCAGCAACACCCACCGCCAAATCTTGAGTTATTTTCTTCTAATCGAATGGTTGGATTCCCCCACCACTTTTATAGCGCACACATGGGCTCAAAGTGCGGAGTACATTTTTTGTTGGAACGAGCTGCGAACCACGAATCTTCGGATTCACAGTCCGAGTACGCCAACCGCTAGGCCTGTAGGGATAGTAGTGGTTCCTAGTTGGCGACTCATTCCAACAACAAAAAAAATACTGTTTGAAATACATTTATATGCTGCTAATGTATGTAAGTATTATGTATTTCGTAAGTGATATGTATTTGAGTATTGGTTAAATCGTTTACCTTGTTTGTGAATAACGTATAATGTCTTGTAATATTCACGAAAC